GATAAGAACTATTTGAAAAATCTCTCATTGATATCATGTCAGATAGGTTGGATCTATGATAATAACACGTATATTGATTCATTGGTCACTGAGGTACTCTTCCATTCGTATTTTAATTTTTTTACTAGTATTTCACTTAACTTTCTTGTAATTTTTTTTTACTTTTGTGAAAGTAAAAATTTGCAAATATTATATCCTCAATCATGTGTTTTATCATGTGATGTGACAATTAATTATACAATAAATTAACTTGATAATTGATATTCTAAATTTGTAACATACTTGAATGATTATAAACGTGATACGTGATGCAATGATATACGTGATGATATCTTATATTGTAAATTATTTTATTTTATAAATTCTTTTTATCATGCGTATCTTTCTATTTTATTATGTTTTATACAAATGCCTTACTTTAAATACTTATACCTAACAAATATTTGTGGAACACTTTGCCACATATGAAACGTTCTTTCCAAATAAACTAAATTGAAAATAATTATATCAATCAATCTCAATCCTTTTTTTTTTGATTTTTAGTCTCTCACTTAATAAAAATGATATAAATCAATCTTACTAAAAGACACGTAACATAAACTTTTCGACGTGTTAGAAGCATTCTTTTGTTTTACTGTTCTATCGACGTGAATATTACCGTAAAAGATGATGTAATTGTTTATTTCAAAATGAATGCAATCAAATTGAAATCCTTTTCGTTTTCCATCGATTTTTTTATTCATTGATTCATTGCTATCAAATAATAAATATCAATTATAATTCGAAAAATTGTCAATTGATCGTAATCACAATATTTATAGTACGACTTGGTATGTGATCGGAAATATTGGGTTGATTTGACAAGTATGGCATTCTACATTGGTAGTTTCATTGGTAATGTTCTATTTGGATATATTGCTGATAAGTATGTTTCTCAAAATAAAAAAAAAAACTCAAAAATTTTTACTTTTTAAATTTAAATTCATTATGCAAAAAATTGAAATGACAAAAAAAGCAGAAAAAAAAACACAAAAACATTCAAAGTTATATATTAATAAAAAAAAAAAAATAAAAACATTCAAGGTTACATTTTAAAGAGACGAATAAATTTTATGAAATTTTAATGGAGAATGAATTTTAGCCTAGTTTACTAAAATAAACATTGAAATGCAATGTTTTTTTTCTTTTTTAACTTGGGAGATAATGCTTAACTTTAGGTAATAAAATTTAAACTATCCATCAGTTAATTAAAGTTAAATTATATTTGAATAATATTTTCAGATTTGGGCGTCGCCTATCATTCTTTATGATTCTTGCAACGCTTGTGGTATGCGGTACAACGAATTCATTTGCATGGGATATTCATTCATTTATGATATTACGATTTCTCACCGGATTAGCATTTCCGGCGCTCTTTCAATTACCATTTATTATAAGTGAGGAATATTATTATAAATGTTTGAAATTTACTAATTTATGCACGAAAATTACGAAATATAATTGTTTTTTTTTTCTTGTTATAAATCTGATTATTAGCAAATAAAATATTATTGAAATGTTTATATTTTGTTATAGATGATTAATTTGAAGTAAATGTAAATTATATTAGGTATGGAATTTATGGGTGAATCGGGTCGAATATTTACCAGTATTTTAATCGATGTATTCTTTGGAACAGCTTTGGTTTTACTTGGTGTTTTAGCTATGTTTGTTCGTCGTTGGCGACAGCTAATTTTTTTAAGCAATGCACCATTTATTCTTTTGTTTACTTATTACTTGTAAGTTTTTAGCAATGTGTACTAGCTAAAATTCATTAATAACTTTGAAAAAACGAAAATTCATTGCTAAAATTTTATTGATAAAATTTGAAATTCATAGGAATTAATTTGTTGATAAAAGTAGTAATGATGAAAAATGAAGTAATTGAGCAAGATAAAAAGTGATAATGATAGAAGTGATAATGAAATAGAGTAATTATGAATTTATGAAATTTTTTATTATAATTAAAATATGGCTAAATCGTGCAATCATCGAATGTGTAAATCATTGATGCAAATTTTCTCGTTGTAACCAATAATTTTTACTCACAGTGATATCTCTACTAGTGACTTATCAGTAAAAAGCGTAAATGATTAGACGAATATTAAATTCATCTCACTAAAATGTTTAAATAAATGGAACATATGATTATAGACTAGTAGTGAAAAGATTACTAAAATGATGATAATTTTAATGATGAAATAGAATTAAATTTTGGAGATAATTACTAACATTTGCTTTTAAGTCAGTTATTGAAAACTATCGATAAATGTTATAATTTTGATTTTTAAAAAATCGTAAGCTTTTTATTTTTATTTTTTTGTAGCATTGTTCCCGAATCACCACGTTGGTTAGTTTCTGTTGGCCGATATACTGAGGCTAAAACTATTATTAAACGTTTAGCAAAAATTAACAAACGAAATGAGGTAGATGTTGATGATTTAATGTTAAGAGTAAGTTTTTACTTTTATTGGCAAAAAATATAACAAAAATTATTTTGCTCAAAGAACTAAATAAATTTGAGCTAAAATTGCTTTAAGTAAATAAAATTTTGTATTTATTTTTAGTTTTATCGTTGAAATAAAACTACAAAGTTAATACAGCATGCAATTTACTAACTTACAGCTAAAAAATTTCCGTAATTTTTTTTCAATTTTCTAGATTTTTAATTTGAATTACTATGTTTCAAATTAAATTATGACATTATTTAAATTACGTTATGTATTTTGAAAGGTATATATGATATATTAAGTGTTTTTTTTATTGACTTTAAAATTTCTCTAAGCACTAAATTTATTTTCAGTTCATTAGAAGCAGATGTAATTTAACACCATGTTCCAATAAATACAATTTAATTGATTTATTTCGGACACCAAATCTTCGCAAGAAAACCATTCTTATCACCTATATTTGGTTTGTAAAAAATTTCCCATTTTTTTTCAACCTTTTAATTTAAAAAAAAAAAGTTGAAAAGAAGTGAATATTTTCTAAATTTTTCCAAATATGCTTTTTTTCTTTTTTCAAATATGTTTTTTTTTTGCTCCTCTAACTAATTCCATAATTAAATTTTCAATTATAGGTTTGTGAATGCAGTCGTTTATAACTGTTTAACATATAATATATCAAATCTTCCTGTTAATGATTACTTATCATTTATTATTAATGGTGCTGTAGAATTACCAGCTTATTTTCTTGTTTGGCCATTACTTGATGCTATTGGACGTCGATGGTCATTAGCTGGACCAATGATAATTGCCGGATTAGCATGCATTTCAACAATTTTAACACCTATTACTGAGAGTTAGTTTTAATAGCAACAATATTGTGCAAAAAAAAAAAAAAAGATAATGTTTATTCGTAACGAAGTTTTTTTTTTCTCATTCCTCACGTAAACTTTCATATTACACACGTTATACACGTTAACTAAAGCACAACTGTACAGAATTTGCATTATTTTCAATAAAAAAGGCAACATTATATTTTACTTAAACGACTGAAGTTCTACAGAATTGCACATGAAAAATCATATGAATTTGTGGAAATCGCACAATTCACAAACTATTATTATATTTTAACTTTTAAAAATAGCATTAAATAGTAATTAAATTTAAAATTTTCTAGAATAATTTTCTTATTCTCTTTTTATTTAAAAAAAAGCAAAAACAGAAACAAATAAATAATTTATAAAGCATTAGTTTCACTTTTTTCATTACTTATTTCTATTCAATCCATATTTTTTGAATTTAATAAAAATTTTTAATCAAATTTTGCAGAACATCCGTTATTTGTTGCAATAATGGCATATATAGGCAAATTTGGAATTGCCGGAAGTTTTGCCGTAATATATTTATTTTCCGGCGAATTATATCCAACTGTTTTACGTGCACTCGGTATGGGAATGAGTTCGATGGTTGCCGGTTCCGGACTCATTCTTGCACCATATATTGTACGCCTGGTGTGATTTTCAAATAATTTCACGTTAATTAACAAAGCAAAAACACCATTTTTGCATAATTTTGATTAAATATTTGAAATATTTTCTCGTTTATCAAATATTTTTATTTCTCAAATGATTATAAATTAACAATTCAGAGTGGATTTCTTAAATTTAAGAATTTTGATATTTATTTCAAATGAAAAAAAAGAAACATCGCTAGAGAAGCGTGTCACTGTATTAAAATAAATTTTGCCTTTTATAAAATAAAATACAGATAACAGAGAAAATTTTTTTCTTTTTTTTCTATCCACTTGTACAATTTGAAAAAATTTATAGCATAAATTTAGCTATCAAATAAAACTTTTCCATTTCTGTAATTTTATGTTTGGTGCTAAAAATTTTAAAATCTTGATCAAAAAACATCTGAAGAAATGGTTAACACAATTTTAAATAAAAACAAATAAATGAAAAAGAAAGAAAATAAAATTTTGTCAAAATAAAGAAATAAAATCAGATTTAGAAAATTTATAAAATAATTTTTTCCTATAGGGGTAGCATTATGCATAATTTATTATTCAGAAAATAAAATTACTCAAGAAATGAGGAGAAAAAAAAACTTATTCCATAAAAAGAATACTTATAAAAAATAATACAATTTTTGATATATCATTTCCAATATTATACCATAAAGATACAAAAAAAAAATTTAAGTATTACTAATTCATTTATAAATTCATTTATAAATTAAGCAATATGGAGAAACGATGAAATAATGATCGCTGTTGCATATATTGAATTTTTTTTTTCAGCAATATTTGTTAAATAAATAAATTGTAATAAATTTCTCTTCCAATGATTTTTTTTTTTAATTTGCTATACAAAATTTTTTTTTTTTTGGCCAAACTCTTTTTTTCCGATAATTTGAAATGAATTAATTTCAATTTAAGGGTGATTACTTACGTATTTTACCGCTGATAATTATGGGTTTACTGGCAATATCAGCTGGAATAGCATCATTTTTTCTACCGGAAACAATGAATAAACCTATACCACAAACACTGGAAGAAGCGGAACTGTTAGGGAAATCTGAAAAGTTTCATTTTTTTACAAGTATGTATGCTATGGAATTTTTTTTTTTTTTTTTGCAAGAAGTTACTTTTCATTTAAAATATGCCGTTAATTTCTAATTTCATTTTACCTTTAGAAAACAAATAATTCGAATGGTTAATCATTTAAAATTATAAAAGAAATGAAAATCGATTCCTGAAAAAGCAGTTTTGAATTAAATTAAAGAAAATTATTTATTGGGAAAAAGATAAAAACAAATAAAATTTCTGATCGTATAAGCTTTTGTAATCAATTCGTGATTTCACGTTCTATAAGTAACATATGTCTAAGTAGTAATTTAATGTTTATGCAAATTTTATTTTAATTTAAATGTTTTTTCTTTCATTTCAGAGAAAAAAGAGAGATGTAGAAGTGTGAAGGTGCTTGAAGGGACTGAAAGACGTTCAGAAGTTTTATTAACAGAAAAAACACCTGTTGCCGGTATTAACTGATTATTGATAAAATATTTTATATTACCAGAAATTTTATTATTCTTGGCTTTTTTTTTTTTTTAAAAAAAAGTTTTTTGACTCTCCTTTTAAATTGTGAAATAAAATATAATGGAAGATCATTTAAAAGAATTTTTAGCATCATCACGTGAACTTTTTGGATTTCTGATAATGAATGAAGACTTCAAAGAAGTTTTGGTTTGACGAATCGATCGATCTTCTTGAATAATGTTTGCAGAAATTTTATTTAAACAAAAATTTCAACTTACTCGAAATTTAAATTATTCGTTTATTTATGTGAAATTAACTTTTTTTGCTTCAGATAACTACAAAAATAAAATATTTGATTAATGCATCTAATGATGATAACAAATTGATGGCAATGGTTTAGTGATGAGAGCCGAAAAGTTGAAAATATGTATTCTTGCCGATAGCGAAATAAGAAGAACATATGTGTGTTATTTTCCAAATTCTTTTGTAATATGTCAGTGAACACTCATCTCATCGTTAATGGAATTTTATCACTCATTTATCATTTTCCGGCTATCTTTGCTGGTTTTTTTTTCCGCCGGTGTTTTTTAAATTTTCTTTAGCAAATCAAATGTTTTGAATGAAATTGTTAAATGCATATTGTAACAGTTATATTCAATTTTTTTTTTGCATCGATTTAAATTACCTCAATGATTTTGTTCAATCTATTTTCAATGTTTCTTGAAATTGTATTCATATTTCTGAAAGTGATTTCCGGTAACTTTGTGCAATTCATTATTTTATTACAGGATGAAATTCGATTAGATATCTGAAAATTGCTACTGTTAGATGAAGAGGGAGAGGATTAATTCAAGAAGATGTCATCTTTTCTAAAAATTGAAAATTCATTCCAAATATTATTGAAAGCTTTTTTGGAATTTTTTTAAAAATTTTCAAATTTGCCTGTATAATTTACATATTTATATACATTTGCATTTGATAATATCAAAAGATTTCAAATTTTATTTTATTGTACCACTGCAGAGAAAATCATCAAATCGGCACCTTACCAA